GAGCAGAAGGGAGGAGCAGGGAGGTCTGAAGGGGTTGTTTGTCAGAGTGTGTTGATGTTGTTAGATTCATTGTTTCCTGTGTTGGTCAGACGCTGGGTTTGTGTTGGCGTTGGGGCTGTTATTCTGGCTGCAGCACACTCCTCTCATCCGCTCTCCTCTTTCTGCTTCTCATTACAATGAATAAACACAGGGCAAGTATTGGACAGGACAACTTTTGAGGAAACAAGTGTGTGTGTCATTGCGTGTTTGTGTGTCTGTTGTGTGTGCGTGTGCATGCAAGTTGCAGTCTGTGTGCATGCAGACCTGGAGCATGCCTCTTTGTGTGTGTGTTCAAAGGTGCAGGCAATTACGTGTGGCATTGGAACAGAGCGTGAGCAGTAGTGGAAAGAGCTAAATTGAACAAATTTTTTGAAACTAGACAATTGGAAGGAAAACACATTCAACAGTTGGAACCACTTACAGACGGAAAGTGGCATAGATAGTTCTGCACATACTTGCGTAGCAGGTTGTGTAATGGTGACATCAGTTTTAACACATAATCAGTGTTCAGCAGAAACCTGCCTAAAGCTGGGTTTTTGGTTAGTTTACTAACTGTAGCCTTCTGTATTATGGAAAGTGGATATATACAGTATATCGCTCAAAGCTGTGTTTGGCAGAATCCTCACTGTACTGACTAAGCTGTCCAATCACTGAGCATATATCACTTTAAGCACAAGCTGTGTGATGAAGGTACTTACACAAGATTGCACTACAGGGAGCTGTCTGCACTAGAGGTCGTGATGACTGACAATAAATGCAGTTCGGTTTGCATGCATGCAGGTGTGTGTGTGTGTGTGTGTGTGTGTGTGTGTGTGTNGTGTGTGTGTGTGTGTGTCATTGGCTACCTTTGGGGACTAATTTCAGATTAGAGACCAGTAAATCAGCTTGTCCAAATGGGGACTGAAGTCGTGTACCTGTTTATGAAAAAGATAATTTTGGGGTCATTGGTTAAAGAGGCTATTTGTAAGTTTTCTCTGCTGCCAAATGTGGTTTCTCCCTGGCAGCAGGTGGGGATTACACTATACTCTCTTTGTAGCGCTTCTTCTTCAGGGCAGACTTGACACTACAGTAACTCACTCTCAGAAAGGGACAAGTTGGGCCAGCCTGACTGGGTACAGTTTTATAAAAAAATGTCTATACTGTTGACAAGAGTCAATCTCAGCTGACACCCTTTACAGTTTGCCAGTGAGAAACACCCATTCAATCCCACATTTACAACCAGGGACAATGTAGTGTCTCCAATTAACCTAAACTGCAAGTTTCTGACCTGTGGGAGGAAGCCAAAGGGGAACATGCAAACTCTGTAGAGAAAGGTTCAAGCGGGCCATCAGGTTTAAACCCAGAACCTTGTTGCTGTGAGGTGACAGTGCTAACAACTGCACCATCTTACCACCCCAGGAGAGTTTGAGTAGAGGCAAATAGAAGCAACACATAGGTCACCGTGACTGAATGCTTTTGCTTTCCAGTGCTGGAACCAGTCCTTAGCAAATACAGGAATGACGTTTGATGCTAAACTAAACTTAAATGCTGTTAGTGCTGATGTAGTAGCAAAGCTTACAAGCACCTTTAAGGTGAGGGTTATGTTAAGGTCAGGATTTGACAAGTATGGGTTATCATAAGGGTGAATTTAAAACTATGTAATGTCCTAAAACTGTTTGTGTGTGTATGTGTGCGTGTTTGTGCATGTGTGCGTGCGTGCTGTAAATTGCAACTCAACAGCTGAACCTGTCAGACGCCTCTCCTCTGCTAGACACACACAGATAAGTTGTATACCCACCATAATGTGTGCGGCTCTCTCGAACTCTCTCTCTTCCACTTTCCCTCTGTCTATCTGTGCATCTCCTCTCTCTCAGCCTTCGTCTCTGGCGCTCCCACCATTTTTATTTCTTTTTGATAATAGTTAGCTGTCAGCATCTGGAGACTGTCTGGTCCCGAGACTGTCTCGGGAGCAGATTTGTATTTTATATTCTCTGCGGGGACAGTATGGATCCCTATGTATGTAAAAACACACAAACAGTGCACTCCCTCAAGTGTCCCTTGACAGTCATGGCTGAAGGATGTTGGCAACAGGTGTGCAGTTGGGATGCAACTCTGACAGTGCTGGCAGATGCACTCACAGCACACACAAACAAACTGGGGGGGACTGTGAAAAAAAAAAAAAAAAAAGCTAAGATACTGTGTGAGAGCTGGTGACAGGAAGCCGGTCTCGCAGGGCAGTGTGTTCCACTGCAGCTAATTAACCCCGGGAAATAATTGCTACAATATGCAAATGCTGTTTAGATAATTCACTACACTGCCATGCCAGGTAGTCAGTCACTCTGTCGCCTGACTCTGAGGGTGCAAGCAAAGATAGTGTGTTGTTGTTGTGTGTGTGTTTGTGTGTGATGTTGGGTGATGGAGTCAGGAGCACGGGGAGGAACTTGTTTGCCAGCGTGACGACATCAAACATGCAATATGTTTTTGAAAATTAGAAATGTTATTCATAGTATAACAATAAATGCCCTCCTCTTATTTTTCTTTTGACTAAAAAATAATATTTTTTCATTTGTTATTCGTTATCTCAGCTATGGAGGTTATGTTTGCGTCTGTGTTTTATTCTTTAGTTATCAGGATAACATAAAAGACAGATTACCATGAAACTTGGTGGAAGGATGCGATATAGGTCAGGGAAGAACCCAGAAAATGTTCACTGTTTTTGCAATGAATACTTTAATGGAACAAAAAATACATTTAGGACACTGATATCTATGAGTTTGTATGATTTGGTGCAGCTGTATTGAATTTAAGGGGACTGTTGGGCCTTAGAGAAGGTAATAGGTCTGTTGAGTGCCATTTTAGTTTCTTTGTCAGTAGCAGGACGATGCAAAAACTACCAAACAGATTACCATGGAACTTGGTGGAAGGATGCAGCGTGTGTTAGGAAAGAACCCACTAGAATGTAATGTAGATCCATATCAGGGTTTGGATCCATTTCTTAAGCATTGCAAGATTTTTCAACATGTCCATTGGATCGACTGAATTTAAATTGTTGTGCCTTGGTGCATTGAGTGCCATTCTAGCCTCTATAAACAATTTTAGAAGTTTCTTATATGAAATAAACACACATACACACATGCACACGTGCATAAAGGTGCTACGCCCTGTACGGTAGCAAACCCTGCCTAATGTCTCCATTGTCACTAAAGCGTTGGTGGAAAGGTGAAGAACAGGTGGAATCAACAGAGGAGAAGTTAAAGGTAGAAGAGTAGGATGGAGGGAGGGAGGGAGGGAGACAGGCAAGCTAATGAAATGGGCTTCGCAGATGAAGGGTGACATGGCGGAGGAGAGAGGAGGGAGACTTCAAAGCACTTTGATGCCACAGCCTTTCAGACAGACAACTCTGCTTCAGCAGCCAGCCGCTCCGATAACACACACACACACACACACACACACACATAGACACGAGCATTTGCACAGCCGTGGTGGCAGAAGGGCAGGGCAGAGCAGAGTTGCCTGCTCTTGCATCACACTCTGTGAATGGAAGTAGGTTCTGACACTCCAACCCCCACATGCTAATCTGGCAGTAAACACAAACAGTCTGACAGGTTAATTTACCTCTAGACAAACACTGCAACAAAAACACACATCAGCACATCATCAAACGGCACAAGCACACACACACACACAATGCACACAAACTGGTACACACAGAAAAAGTCTCATCAAATCACAGGCTGTCTTATACTTTCTTCTAAAAGTAAAGACCATATGATCTGTTTCTTCGATGTGTTGTAAACTTTTCCTCTCAGTTTCTATCCTCATGAGAGCGACTGTTGAAGTCTTTATCGTTTTTTAATAACGCAATGTCTCACTTAGCAAAATACAAACACATTTATGGAATCTAACCCGATTGTTTCTTAAGTTGCGTCCTCTGTCCTTTACCTCACGTCGCTAATTTTTTGCGTCACAGAAGAGTTTGACACTCAATTAACAGATGAGGTCACGTTCTCTATCGTCAATGTGTTTGTTTTCTAGGTTTTCTTTTTTCACACATATGCTAATTAGGAGAAATGTGTGTGTGCACATGTACTTATTGTTTGCATCCAGTGTGGTGCTACCTTACACACAGTGCTGTGCATACAGTGGATACACAGCGGGGCCATGTGTAGTGTAACTTCTTGTGGGAACGTGTTGTTGAATTCTATTGTGAACCAGACAGTTTGATAGGAAATCAAAGTCTAAAATCAATGTCACAAGTTCATTAACAGATGCCCTTTTCTCGCCTGTACTTTTACTATTGTTCTCTCCAGCCCTGGATAAGTGCTAACATCTCTGGTTAATTAAACGTGTCTTCTAGCTGCGCGTATGTGTCGTGCACGTGCATGTATGCAGAAGAGGATACATGTAGTTTTTCTTATTTGTGGTTGTGTGTTAATGTGTGCAACACTGCGTGTGTGTGTGTGTGTGTGTGTGTGTATGTTATTTGTTTCAATGCATTTGTATATCTTCCCTTTATTGTTTTTTCTTTTGACCTTCCCCTAGTGTCATCTCATTATGCCTCTACTGGTGTATAGATGGATCATCGATTCAGCAACAGGGTACAAATTAAGATTTAAACGTTACGTCTCCCAGGCTATTGAGTTTTACATTTAGGGCATTTGCAATATGCAAGACTTATTGATCTGCTGAAGTGTGGCTCTTTATAGAAATCACCTCAGGCCACCACCACCACTTTTTTTTGGTTTCTCTTTTTATACCTCTCTTTTTGGCTGGCCCCGGGGGTGCCAGTTTTGATGCTGCAGCATTAAATTCTTAGAGTCTGACAACTCTATTGATGTTTAAGTCTCATTGGCTGGTCACCTTAAATGTTTCTTAATTGCACGGCTGGGCTTGTCAGAGTTTGTTGACAGAGTTCAAGCTCATAATGTTTCCTTCAGTCTGTTCGGTCATGGATCTAACATTTTTGTGTGTGTGTTTTGCAGGAAAATGGCTCCTCCGAGGAACACGTGCTATACGTGTGGGACAACTTTGTGTCCAAAGCTGCAGCCAAGAATGTCTTCATCATGGCCCACAGCTACGGAGGGCTGTCTTTCGTTGAGCTGGTGAGTGTTGTAGTTTTCCACTTATCCTTCCTACCTCCCACTGACATAAAGACACACTGATGCACACAATGCGCTCCTGTCAGCACAATCACTCTCACACATGTTCATTCTGTAAAATCTGCATATTCCATCTCTTATGCAGACTCAAATGTAAGTTTACAATGCTACAGTACAAACAGTACATGCACACATTCATGCACATTAGTAGTGTGAAAAAACAACATACATGTAAATACAAACATGCAGAGCAGTATAACACTAGTCACCTCAGGGAGATGGGCATGTGAAACATGGTGGAACAATTAAAAATAAATAGCATTTGGTTTCCTTGAAGGAGAAGTGCTTCTGTAAACAATCTGGTTCATCCTTATCCTTGGGCAGTATCCACCTCCTCTACTCATCCTCACATCAAGAATACGAGGGAAAGAGGGTGGAAAGGAGAACGCTCGATGGTTATACAACAACAGTGGTACTGTTAAGGCAGATCTGCTGTGTAGCATGCAGATCTCGCAGCTTTAAGAGCGACAGAGGATAGGTCGAAAGACGGTGGGAGGGAAGTGGAATTAATGGTACACAAGGGAGGGTGAAATAAAAGTTTGTCCAGCCTTTTGGCTTTATAACTGCACCCTTGAGCTAAATGGGCCTACAGAGTTTCTTGTTGTGCTTCAGCAAGCTTCAGCGTTCAGATAGCCCATAGTATTTTTGTGAGTTTCCATTAAAGCGTTGTAGTATTGAAGAACCTTGTTTGATTGTGGCGAAGTTTGTTTGTACCCTGCTAGCTCATTACTTACTGTTTGACATGTCATCCATATGGTACCAGTACAGCAATGAAAACAATACACCACTCAGGTTAGTCCTAAACTTTGTATTGACACATAAAGTACATAAATAAATTGTGAGATGTAAAGACTCAACTACTGAGATGTGATGTGGTTGTAGAG